ATATTTACTGAGAAAAATGGTGACATGTTCAATACTTATTTTACCTGCTGTATATTTCTTCTGCTGGAGCGAGGCACATGTTAAATAGAGACTTGTTGATTCTCTTACAGTATGACTGACCGATTGCAAAGTATAAAATGTAAGACTGTATCTAAACCAGGGGTTCTCAAACCTTTTGGGTGTGGGGACCCATTACAGTGGCGAAAAAAATTTCAGGTACCCCCTTAATAAAACCCATGCTGTTTTAAAAGATAATTTATTGTCATGTCAACCCCTAAATTCCATGGGAATACAGTATGTGGCCCATCATATCAAAATGAGGATTAAGTCAAACTTGGTCAAAATGACCTAATTACATTTTCAGACTCTTGGCTTTAAAGGCTAAATTTTGATACCTGGATCACTCTGATACCATCAGTTTATCCAGAGATATGACTTAATTTGTCTTGATGGTTATGATGTTTGGTCTGAATCCTAATTTTATGTAAATTTATTGAGTAATTTTTTTATTTTAATATAAATAACAAACCTCAAATATTATTTGTATATTAAGATTTCCCAGTTGGAAAGAAACAAAATCATTGTTAGCTCACAGGGAAAAATTCAAAATCCGTTTTTTTTGTTGCTACTGCCAAAAAAATGCTTCAAAAATGTTTTTAGGATTACATTTCAGACAGTTCATTCAAATGATACATTGATAAGGCATTAATTTATTATATTTTGACATATTGCAATTCTTGCAAACAGTTAAATCAAAACCTTACACCTGTATTTCTCCACATCCCACTTTTGGACTTAATCCTCGTTTCAATGTGATGGCTAACATTTATGTTTTTATTTAGTCTATTATGTTTGTTTTATTAGTTCATTGTTCTCCATGCATTTTTAAAAATAAAAACCAAATTAGCAATTTAGTGAAATTTTTTGAGGACCCCCAAGATATCTCTCATGGACCCCTTGGGGTCCTGGGACCCCAGTTTGAGAACCTCTGATCTAAACAGTCTCCATTTCTCCTCTTAATTCAGCTTCACTGGTAGTTTCAGGTTGTTTGACTGCAGCCAGCCTCTCTACACTCCAGCTGTGTGGCACAACATCAATCCTCTGTTGGATCATCGGGTCCACTTCACTTCCCTCTGCACCTCCCAACGTCTGCTGGACTACCTGCAGAGCAGCGCCGTGGTGGTGGAGCTCTGGGGTCTTCAAGGTAACGAAGTAAACAAGATACATTGTGAATAGATTCAGATATTTTGAAGGAGTGGTGCACTATTTTGTTCAAAAAAAGAGAGAACTGAGTAAAATTTAAGACTGCTGCTCAGTGTTGGTTTTTTGTTAGAGGGTTGCACTTCCCTGAGCTCGTCTCTTGAAGCAGTGAAGATGACGGCAGAGGGCACCTTCATCATAGATGAGCCGGGTCCACCAGAGACTGCAGTGAGTCAGAGCTTAAAGGGATCCCCGATTCGTTGTAACATTAGACTTTATTTGATAAACATATAATTTAACTGTAAAATAAAGACTGTAAAAATACTGTAGGATGTTTAGTTTTTATAATTTTTAAACTAAAAGTTTACAAATATATTACACGGACGGGGCCATTTTATTTACATGCAAAGCATTCTGGGTAAATGATGACGTGGATAGGTCATCGGTGCGAGGCTGCTAGCGAGCTATATCCACCCTGAAGGTTAATCTTGGACAATATCTGATGATCGACTCTTTTAAATGAAACCAGAGAGCGTTGACAGAGAGGAGAAGGTAGAAATGACTCAGCCTGGAAATGAAAATATGGATGGAGGACAACAGAGCTGCTTCATGGAAGAAGAACCTCAGCTTAGCCTGTTAGCTTTAGCGTTAGCCCTGACGCTATCACCATATCATATGTTTTAGCTCAGAGCTACACATTCTCCTCTAGTCACTGAGGTCCTCCATCCACATGACAGAGAGGGTAACACAAAAATGACTCAGCTGCAACTGAAAATATGGATGGTGGACCTCAGTTTAGCTTGTTAGTTTGTTGCGCTAGCGCTAAGCTAATACATATAAGGCAATATAGCGTTGGCGCTAGCGCAAAGACTAACAGGCTAAGCTGAGGTTGTTCTTCCATGAAGCAGCTCTGTTGTCCTCCATCCATATTTTCAGTTACAGGCTGAGTTATTTCTACCTTCTCCTCTCTGTCAACGCTCTCTGGTTTCATTTAAGAGTCGATCATCAGATATTGTCCAAGATTAACCTTCAGGGTGGATATAGCTCGCTCGCACCGAGGATCTATCCACGTCGTCATTTATCCAGAATGCTTTGCGTGTAAATAAAATGGCTCCGTGCGTGTTAATATATATTCTTAAAAATTTACAAAACTAAACATCCTACAGTATTTTTACAGTCTTTATTTTACAGTTAAAATATACGTTTATCAAATAAAGTCTAATGTTACAACTAATCGGGGATCCCTTTAAATCATTACTTGTAACTTGGAAGATTTGGAGTTCATATTTATTGTTCCTACACCATCACTAACTTTTTTAAGGTTAATGTCGTTTGAATAAAAGACAATAAAATATTACCAGGTATTTACACAAGTTTGTGTGTGTTGCAGGCTGCAGGCTCTGGGCTCAGTGGTTCAATCAGAGCTCTTCAGCGGGACTTGGAGGAACTGAGGAGTGTTAATGTTTCCCTCAGAAAAGAAAACCAAAGTCTGAGAGAACAACTCAACTCAGCCAAGAATGGTGACTGAACCATCCAACAGTTTGTATCTGAAAGCTGCTCACATGTGCACCATCTCACTCTAACATCCTCGGTTTGCTCCCTCTGATTTTAGGAGAGGGTGTGCGTGGACGCTCGATGCGTCCCAGCTGTGATGCAGAGTTTGCTCGTGCTTTGAAGGTTTTCTACCACAGCATGACTTCAGTCAGAGCTCAGCTGCAGCGCCTGCACAGACACAGGCCCAGTGTACGTCCGCAGCCTCAGAGTTACTGCAAACCTGATGCAGAACGGACAGACAGTGCAGTGCTTTATGGTGTTTGTCAGCACCATGTACTATACTTTCACTGTCTGCCTTTGTGTCCTGCAGGAGGAGTCGGACCTGCTCGGGCTCAGGCTGTTTGTGGACGAGCAGAGTCGTCTGCTGAAGGACTTCTCGGAGCAGCTGGAGCAGAGCGTCTCCACGCTCAAACAAGATGTAGCCGCCATTGTTCGTCGCAAACGAGAGCGGTCAGGAATCTGGTCTTAACTTAAAGTTATTTAAACTTTAAATATGTCTGGTCATTCTTTACTCTGGATATTCAAAAGGAGATGTAGACCCTGAGAACTTCACTCCTGAGTGATGTACTACAAAGTTGATAGTTTTCTTCTAACCTGGTTACTCATTACACATTTGCAGTAATTTTATTTGTAAGAAACTCCTTAATTTAATTCTTTTTATAGAAAAATTATACTGAAACATGTCATCAGAAATGATTAAATGTCTAAAATTAACCAGGTTAATAAACTTTGAGGTTAAGTCTATTTTTATGCCTTTACCTTTAATGTCAGAATCAAGTTTTAGATTTTGTTAAACTAGCTAACACAACAGCCATGTTGGCCTTGCTTCATAGTACCCCCCCTCCCCCCACTATATTATAAGTCAATGAATAAGCAGGTTTATTAGACTGAAGTTTACAAAATGTTTATTAAGCTGCATGTAAAAGGTTACAGTTCTAAACTGCAAATAAATTAGGTACACGCTTCAAAATTCACCATGTTATTGAACTCATGTTTTTAAGTTGCTGCAACTTTGAGGTGTCTCACTCACTGCTGAGTATTGAATATTATCGACTAAAGCAAACAAATTTTTACAAGTTAAAAAGCAAAGAGCTGTGTTTTTATAACGTTCACGTTTTTTTCTTTTCTTTTTGAGCATCTTATGTCTCATTTAGAGATAAAAGCACAGCCGTTAATGCTGGAAAGCAGTCATGAGAAAGTACAGACAGTTGCTGTAGGTCCAAAGAAAACCTCGTTGTGGGCTCATGTACAGTAGAAGAGAAAGAAGGCAGATTAGGAATCACACTACAGAAAATGTATGTACAACAGAGGAAGACAAACAAACTAGGCCATAAAAACCTCAGAACAAATGTTGTTGTGATTAGGAGATGAACAGTAGTCTAGATTCACCAGAATGAATCTGTCAACTCATTGTGCTGCTCTCCTAAAGTGTTAACTGCTATTAATCTGTGGTAATTAAAGTAAAATGTCACAATAGTGACAATTATGGTTTAGACAGAGGCAGCAGTGAAAGTTACAGAGGTAAACTTGACCTGCTGTGGGTCAGACATTGTCAGTTTTCTTATGAGTTGATGACTTAACTTTGTAGGAAACAGACAGTAATGGATCTGCAGGTCAGAGAAAAGGCTGAGGGTACAGGTGAGGTAGGTTAATTACATCTCAAACAAACGTTTATAATATACACTTCCTGTAACATTTACTTTACAAGCAGAACAACTTTTCACCGTCAGGTTTCTGCACCTCTTTGGGCACAGTGTACAGAAGCAGGTCAGTGTAGAACACGCCAAAAAAAAAAAAAAAAAAAAAAGTCCAAAAAAACCTGTTAGCCTCTTTAAAAATGTTTAAATGAACACCTCCGTCTTTTTAGTTACAAAGTTCAACAGATTCCTGAATCTGGGTAATACAATACTCTGGTTCTTGAAATAAAACACTGATCATACTGGTTTCTAAAGTGTCCAATAATAATTTTGTCTGATCTCCAGATAGTTGTGTGGAACAATTCACAACAACCTGTGTATATTAAGTTTTTTTTCTTTCCACGTCTCTTTGATGCTTTCAAGAAAAATAAAGTTTAAAACAGCTGATATTTATAGTTCTCTCTCACATGCACACACAACGTTTTAAGCAGCTGAAAACTTTCACAGTATAAAAAAATATTTTACTTAACAGAGGTCCACAATGTCAGGTCAGGCCTGTAAGTGTCAAAGTCACGCAAAGACAAACATTAAGAGCTGCAGTCCAGAACAAACAAGTCACTTTCAGGAGACGCATTACTGTGAAAGTGAAGTATTTCTGATTGTAACTAAAGCAATACTCGGCAGTGTTTACAAATCTACATCATAGTCACGTGGGTCCTGGATGAGAATTTACCACCATAAAATTGATGATTGAGTTTTTCAATCTGGAGTACAAGGTGCAGAGCACACCAGAAGAAACCAGTTGAAAGTGGAGTGCATTGACAACTTAAGAACCTTTAGTCAGTTCCTGGTTTCTGACCAGGAAAAGTTCTAGTTTTCCAACACTTTCCCTGAATAACGCCTCAAAGTTTAACTCAGTCTGAGGACGTGGATTACTTCTTTTCAGTTGAGTGAAGTAATCAGATTGAACACAGTGACCAACTTAATGTAGAAGAGACTGCTCATTCACTGAAGTGTTAACATGAAGCCACACAGGTCACAGAGTCCAGGATCAACACTCACTGGTACACTGAACACCAAGCTGTTTCTGCTGAGGAGAACCCTTTCTGTGAACCTGGAGACTCCTCAGGCGCTGGTTCCGTCATTCTCAGCAGCTCGGCTCTCACTCCCTGACGTTCCGTGGGTAATGAGAGCGTGCGGCGCCTCAGAAACGTCCCGCTGGCTGCTGCGCCTCGAGTGGCTGTCTATCTGATGCAGGCTGCTGTGAGCAGAGAGCGGGTGGTCAAGACGAGGCATGCTGCCGTGCAAACTGCGCTCCTGTGCACCTCGGTGCGCTGCAGAATCGCTTCTGAGAGAGATGGTGACAGAAACAGAAGTTAGAGGAGGAGCGAGGGGAGAAAAGCAGAGCGATGTGAATCCGTTGTTCCACCTGTCATCTCTGCTGCGGCGCAGGCTGCCGTGGTAGCTGGCCTTGCTGTGGATGCTGCTGGGTTTGCTTCTGGCTGAGGCAGGGTGTCCGTGGTGAGCCCTCAGTGGGTCGTCAAAGTCATCGAGAGTTGCCAAGTGGGTTGAAGAAGCATGTGTAGAGGTGCCCTACAGAGGGATGAGGAGTAAAAGAGCTAAGCACCAGAAAAAATTAACATATTTCAAACCTAAATGCTCATGACCTGCTATGGTTCAAACCCTAATAACCACTAATAAACCTTAAAATGTTGCGTGAAACGTTTAATTGTAAACCCCACAGGAACTGTTGCTTTGCGCTGAAGCTGACAGCAGGCTACATGAACTGTGGCTAGCTGCAGGTTGAATTCCTACCTGAGTGGAAGTCCCTCTGGATTTCCTGATGACGGGGGTGTTTGGTTCACGCAGCAGAGACTGGGTGAAGTCCGGCTGCTCCTGCAGAACCTGTCGGGACTCATTCACACCACTGCTGCAGAGGAGGAGAAGAAGAAATAAAAAGGGTGAGGGGAAAGGACAAAGAAATATGGAGGTAAAATTTGTCAACAAAAAACTGATCCAGAGAGACAAGAATAGACGTTTGAGTATGTGACAAAGAAAAGAAAATAATAAATGTAATGTGGTGAGGACAAAACTGCACATATACATCATTACAAATGTTCAAAAGTCTAACAGGTAAAATACTACGTATGTCACATGCTGCCAATATAATAATAATAGTAATAAAAAACTAATCAGGTTCCTAGTCTGTTCAGATTTGAGATATTGGTTAAAGAATATTAAAAAAATTTTTCTGCCCATATACTTTCAATAACATGGACAGAGGTAGATCTTTAATGGTTTATGTGAATAAAAACTGACAAAGCATTCTCTCAATGTCTACTTACTTCTTGCGTCTGCGTCCATGCAGGAAGCTGGCCCATTCAAAACAGGTCTTCTTACTGCCCACCCAGAAAACAGAGGGAATCCCCACCACCAACATCATCAGGTATTTAATTAGGAACAAAACCATGGCTGGTTTACCGCTCTGCTTAACCTGAGAGGGACAAAAATATTTAAATATTAACTCCATAATCATTCAACCAACACAGCGTAGTGATTTTAACCAGACTAACAGAAAGGAAGAACAACCTTTAGCATAAAAATGTATTTAACTAGTAGAGGCATAAGAGAAGTGAGTAAGACAGAAACACCTTGTTAGTAATTTCAAAGAATAAGGGTTAAATCAATTTCTCTGAAGAACTAAGCAGCAGTTGAACAGCAACCGTTTTCCCTTTAGCTAAACTTGAACTTTGCTGCTTCTCCCACTAGAGGGCAGGGGTTTACAACATTTCTTGGTTTTGATGAAAAGTAAATGTGGCAGGTTTACAGATTTTAATAAAATCGTGTTAATTTTCTTCAGTTTCTTGATTTTAGAAAAATAATCAAAGAGGCAGATTCGCATGATATTTACAACACCTCTATTTGATTTTCCTCAAAGACAAAACTATCATGTGATGAAACATTTAGAACATTTCTCAATCAATAAAGACAATTTACAATTTGTGACTTTTTAGGATGACCTGTGTACAAAACCAAATAAGTACTAATAGGTCAACATTTAGCCTGTCTAACTCAAGATAAAATTAAAGTCCTGAAATAAATAAAACAAGCTCTGGGTACTTAGAAAATGACCACCTGTTTAATTTGAATGAAATACACAGGATGTCTCGTTTTCTACAAACATAAATTGTATCCTCTGCCACACACACGCACACACACACACGCACACAGGAGCCCACTCTCCCAAGGTTAAAGATCAAATGACACATGGCAATAAATGAAATTCCGAAACTAAACGGCACGTAATGTGGATCGACTCATGAGGTCACACACAGATAGAGACATGAACACATTCGCTGACAAGTAACACAAGTGGTTGCACCTGCCTCCACACACTCACACAGACTGTCACATGCTAGCCAGCAGTTGTCTACGGGTCTGAAACAACACAGAAACAAATGTTTTGTTTTCTTAAATTTGTTTTCTACATTTTTTGCGTGCCCCTTTGTCCTGGTTGTTAATTAGAGCCAGACTTTCTGAAAACGCTACACTCCCGCTGCTCTTCATAACCGCTACAAAGCCCTCATAGAGGACAGGCAGCAGAGCATGACTGAGCAAGCCCTGAGAAAGAGACACCAGCTGAGAAAGGGAGGAGAGGGGAAGACGGAGGAGACGGAAAGATGCAAGTGTGTGAAAACCAGCCGAAAGGGTGAAAGACAAGGAGACAAAGAAGCCCAGAGCAAAACAAAGATTGCACTTTTTGTGGAGTCAGGCTGGAAAGCTGCATTAGGTGAACTAATGATGCGTAGAGCACTCTGGTTTCCTTCACAAACATCTCTTCACTCGGCCACACACGTCTATCAACCAGCTCCCTGTCTCTCATGAACACACAGGCCTTAATCTTTAATTTGTTTAGTTTGTGGGTTTTCTCTTTTCTTTAGTCTAAATTATTAACATGTCCATATTTATTAACTTATTATGAAAACGGTTTGTTAATTAAACTAATTAAACTTTTACAGTTGGGTAAAAACTATGTTTCCCTAAAACATTTGTGATTTTATCTTTTCATGCTTCGGTTAATCTTTTCATAGAGATATCTTTCACACCATCAGCAGTGTTTTCAGATCCTTTCATCAGTGACAGACTGATGCACACTGGCAGCTGGAATTGATGGTCTACAGCACATCAGCGAGACTCAACTTGTTAAAAAACAAACACACACCTTTTTAGTTTATCGTATATCTCATCTTTTCATCAAGGGTTGTTGCCTGAGAACTTCGTACTAGCCAACTGTGATGGTATGCTCTAAGTGTCTAAAAGACATTTACTGATTTAAATATGGTTGGTACCATCAAGAATTTGTCAAATTTTGATGTGCATTTAGCCGAGTTATCCAGCAGCTTCTGAGGAGTATTTTCAAACAGATTGTCAAAACTCATATTTTAGGAGACACTCAACAGATGTATTTTTGTTGCAATAAAGAAACGTTAAAAGATTAAAGCATATGGTTAAAACCATTGACTAATTTTAAACATACTTGTTTGTGTTAGGGACACATATCTTTTAAATGTTCACAAACAAAAAACAAATAATGGAAAGTGCAAAACCCTCATTGTTTCACTGTACCTTGTATGGGCAGGGGATGTGAAAACGTCTGCAGTTCTCTTCCATCCATGTTGTTTCCCAAATCGTCCGATAGTTGTGTTCATAGATGTAACAACCAATCACGGTGGTCAATGGGACGAGGTAGAGCACAGAGAATACTCCCATTCGAATCATGAACTTGACAAGTTTGGCCTGGTTTTCTTTCTCCAGAGGAATCTCCATTCGTACTTGATTTAGAGCAATAATTCCCACTAAAAGCAGCGAGACGCCAACCTGCAGAAATCACAAATTAATAAAATATATTGTTTTCTATAGTCCACACTTGTGTAAGATGTCAACCATTCAATCTATTCAACAGTCCATCTATCATACCCTCCCACTCATCACTTCTTTTAGCTACTTATCCACTCTTTTCTTACAGCTTTACTCACCGCCACATTGAGGCAGAGTGGTGCCAGAACAAACCACCGCAGGGCATCGATGTCATACAGGCCTATGAAACACACTCCACTGATCCCATCTCCTTCTATTTTATTCAAGGCCAACAGAGTGACAGTCAGGGCCCCTGGGAGGCCCCAGGCAACAGCATGGAAGAGGAGGGCTTTCTTCTCAATGGCCTCACTGCCCCATTTAGGCACAGCGGCCAGGAACCAAGTGATTGTCAGTATGACCCACCACACGCTGCCAGCCATGGTAAAGAAATACAGCACCATGAAGAAAAGCGTGCACGCCTGAGAACAATGAGAAGAACAACTTCTGTTTAATCTACCATGTGACAGGAGTCAGTAAAAGCTGATGTCTTTGAGGATCTGAATAACAAATGTGTGACGTTAGAGCAGTAATACTAGATGGAAATGTTTTAAACTCTCACCTTGTTATGAGAGCCCTGTGTGATGGTGGACGCTCTGAATTGTGCGGGGCTGACTGCATTGCATGCAACTCTGTCCTCCAGAAGGAAACCAAGGAAGAAGCCCAGAGACACCATGACGTAACACACAGCATAGAAGATGATTGGCCGCTCAGGATATCGAAACCTTTTGACAAACGCAAGATCAATTTAAACTCAATTTTGACACTCACATTATATTGAAAGTGGTCTGGTAAGATAAACTCAGAAAATTTAAGTTAGAAACCAGACAAATTTCAGCCTTTCAGACCTTGTAACATCAATGAGGAATGTCAGGAAGGTGAAGAGCGTTGCAGACAGACACACAATGGAAATGACTCCGATGAAGTATCGGGTGAAGGTCAGCTCCTGCTGGTTGAAGAACATAGAGGGGCAGGGAGCAGAACAGTCCTTCCTTCCCATAAAGGTGTAACCCAGGTCTGGGTCGATCTTGAGCTCTCTGGGGCACCAGAAACCATAATCTCTTTGGACAGTCATGGACGACTGGTCATTGGGTTCAGAGCCTGTTAGCGGGTCCTCTGGGCGAGGATAGAGTGCAGAGTCTGTTTGCAGGTCCTCTGGACGAGGATAGGCTTCATTACAATCTGGGAACCTGAAAAACAATAACATACATATGTCATACAAATTAATCTGCAATGAAAAAAACAATATACCAATGGTATTTTTTGTAATTGTTACATAATTTAGTAGGTAAACAGACTACTGTCTTACTGAAATAGTTACTGCATGATTTAGAGTAAGGAAACAGAAAAACTTATTTTAGTAAGCTTTGGAGAAGGGTGAGTATACAGTTTTTACTTCTTCTCATTCCTTTTTAAATATTTGTTATCTGTTGTATTCATATTTTTATACATGTTTGAATTAAACTTAAATAAATATTTCTAAAACTTTACATTATCAATAGCCTGGTTAAAACCAGCCCCTTGTCCTTTGCTTTGCTTCAAACTAGAATTGAGTGGAACTGTGTAGGAAGGCAAGGGCCAGGCTACATTATCACACATTACAGATCACTCATTTGGACATCACAACAACCTTTAAGATTAAAAGAAAATTATATATATATACCATGAAAACATCACAAGAAGCTTAGATTACAGAGCTTGATTAAAAATGGTGACTATGTGTCAATAAGACAAGTTTCAGCAGAGAACTTGACAAACATTTGAATTGTAACGTAAATGTAATGTACTCAACAAATATTACCAACCTACGTAGTTTCTGTTGTAAGCTGACAACACATGAAGGACATTTATTTAATGTCAATGATTAATTTCTACCAATCTTTTACATAAGAAATATTAAAATTAAACAATTAAATTAGGAAACAAAAACTTTTGTGTTGCAAAAGGTCTTAATTTCACAATAAAAAGTAGGCCTAAAAAACTATACGTACATTGCCTAGACAGTAGCAAACATCATACTGGCAGGGACTGGACTCTTGCTTCCATGTTTTAAATCGGACTGAAGTCAAGAATAAAGAAAAGCCGTTTTAAAAACTAATTGTTAACCTGATTTATCCATTAAACAACCAGTTTCAGTGTCTTTTGGGATCATAGGAGTCCTGGAACACCCACGTATGTCATGCTTCACTGGTCTAGCTGACAGTTTGAAGTTATTTAGTTGTCTATAATTATGCATTGTGTTTTGTCAGACTACAAGTTACACTACCAGAAAAACAGTTCCAGAGAATACATTTATATCACAACTACTTGTTGTGTGTTTGGTGCACCAAATCCTCATCTTCACTCTTTTCATTTAACCTCTGCTGACATTGTCAGTCCTTGCCTCATGTCACCATAAAACTTTCCTGTGAGACGTTTGTTTTTAAATGAGTGTAGACGACTATTTTATTTGGTTTATTTTGAAGATACGTATTTTGGAGCAAAGACTTTTAAATTCGACAGCTGCTTTAAAAGTACATGGTGTTGCAAATCTCAGGTGCAGAGAACCACAAAAACCACAAAGCTCACATCTTACACAGCGAATATGGCAAGTTAAGACATGGATTAGGGATGTGTAACAAAGCAGACATGCCTGTATTTTTAAATGAATAATGGAGGATAAACCACATTGAAGAGATCTGATTTTTACTTGGCACTTAAATGCAAGAAGTAGAACTTGGAAAATGCAGCTGGTGTGGTGAGAGAGGGCTTCAAAGACCAGAGGTGTCAAGTACGGTAACTAAGTACAAATACTTTGTTACTTCACAGAAATTTTGGTTATACTATAGTGAAGTAATTAGTTTTCAGCCTACTTTATACTTCTACTCCTTACATTTTAATTCAGTTAGCTTTACTTCCTACTCCTTACATTTTAAAATGCAAAAAGTATTTAATTCCTATTTAACTTTGACTTGTTTTTGTTCCATCTTTTCATTGTTCAGAAAAAAATATATAAATCTATCCAGATACATGGAGTCGTGGATAGAGTGAGTTTGATTATGGTTGGATGAGAAGTGTAAATATAAACCATTCTGATATCTTATTGGACTGAACTCACTCCATCACACCTGTATGACACAAATCACATCACATCCAGCAGGACACACTGTAGCAGATGGAGCCTAGAATGAAGATGATCATGGCTGAAACAGCTAGTCTAGTCATTTAATTCAATAACTTTCAACATTAACATTTTAATTTAACATTATACTCATTGACTTTAGAAGGGAAAAAAAAGGGGGGGGGCATAGAGCCCTGTGGCACAGTCTAAGCTTTTATCCTTAATGTTTTTAAGTGTTCATTAGTTTTACTTTTATACTGTAGTTTTAAAATCATTAATACTGATACTTCTACTTCCAAAAAAGTATTTTTAAGCCCTAGTATCTATACTTCTATCCATCCATCCATCCATTTTCTGTACACGCTTCTTCCTTTTCAGGGTCGCGTGGGTCACTGGTGCCCATTTCCAGCAGTCACAGTGCGAGGGGCAGGGTACACCCTGGACAGGTCGCAAGTCCATCACAGGGCCACACATAGAGACAAACGAGACAAACAACCATTCACTCTCTCACTCACACCTAGGGACAATTTAGAGTTATCAATTAACCTAACAGTCATGTTTTTGGTGTGTGGGAGGAAGCCGGAGTACCCGGAGAGAACCCACGCATGCACGGAGAGAACATGCAAACTCTACCCAGAAAGGTCCCCCGGACCGGGATTTGAACCGGTGACCTTCTTGCTGAGAGGCATCAGCTCTACCAACTGAGCCACCGTGCCGCCATCTATACTTCTACTTAAGTAATAAATGTGAATACTTTTGACACCTCTGTCAAAGACACAAACTAGTGCTAAGAAATAACAGACAATATGTAGTGGTGGTGGTGGTGGGGTCAACACTCGCAACATATTACAAAAACCACTTGATCAATTTGAACTTCTACTTTTGTCTACATAAATAACACCAAGAACAGAAGCAAGAAGCAATGGATTAAAAAAAGTTAGGATTTTATGTTTTTTTATCATTTCATACAGAGCTCTTTATTCAGTTATCAGTTAGTCCTCAAGTTCTTCACATATTTAAATTTAATCCTGAAGTGTAATGCATATTTTGAAGATATACAAGACAGATGAGTGAAATATTGATTTAGAATTAACTCTTTGCCGTCACTGTCCTCATCATTTTTTGTGCACTGATTTGCTAGAGTCAGTCAGAGCCAATTTCTCTGACAGCCCCAAAACTAAAAGAAAAAACAAAAATAAAGCAATAACAAAAGTCAGCAAGGTCTGGAAGATAGTTTAACACACACAAAGAAAAAGAGACAAACATACACTTACAGACTCTCTAAACATTCCTGACAGCCAATCATCAGATTGATGTATAAAACCTCTGACAAACATTCCTGACTTGTGAACAACTTTCTCTGATCTCTACTGAAGTCCTTGTAATTTCTTGTTGAACTGTGTCTGCTAGTAAATCTCTGCCTCTGCCGTTGAATGAAAGTTGACTCAGGGAAAACTACCACAGTCTGTAGCCAAGTTATGACATTTTAAAACAAAAGAAAAAAAAAGTATTGTATAGTCATACCTGCTGCACTCCATGTCCTCTGGCCAAGCCACTCCAAATATCTCCATGAGCTTATGGCACTCATCCTTGGCTCTCTGGCAGATGGATCGACATGGCATAGACATCCGGCCATACTCAGTGCACACTGGAGCATACAGTGCACATAGAAACATCCTCAAGTCAACACTGCACACGAGGTTTACCATTGGATGAAAAGGCTTTGGAAAAAAAAAGAACAAGAATTTCTATTTAAAACTACATAAACTCAAAAGGAAATGTTGGCCAAGTGCAATGCAGTGTACATTTTTATACAACAATTTCAAAGATGTTTTACACAGAAATACATACTCATTAACACAAACATTGGAAATGCCTGTACATGACGTACTTTTAACCTATAAATAGCCACCAAGGAGGAGGAAAAAACTAGAGTAAAACAAGTGAGTTCCAACCCTTCTGTAACAAACTGTACCACTATATGACATTAATGCTCAGAGGCTTCTGAAATATGAACGGCTGCAGTCAGATTACCATCACTGCTTTAAAGCAGGGGACAGTAAAGACAGACCTCCATAGGATGAGTTACAATCATAGGTTAGGCAACCAAACAGTGTGGCTTTTCACACATAAGGGTTGGGCAATATTGGCAAAAAAATTAATCACGATTAATTGTGGTATTTAGCTGATTATGATTAATTTGACAATTAATCCCCTGGACACCCTTATGTCCTAGTCACATGACCAATTTAGTGGGAAAGATTTGCTCTTCATAAAAATCTGTTCCAAATTGTGTCAAAATTATAGACTTCAGTCTATACATCAAATTTTAAATTGTGTCGATAGATAAAAAAATTACAAAACTTTTTTTTAAATGTTCGTCATATTTGAAGTGGAGAGGAGCAGCGAGCGGACTCTGTCTGGTGGCATTAATCGTATTAATCGTCAAGTGCCAAAAAAATAATCGATTAACGTTTTTCTGACGATTAATTGCACACGATATGATTATGCCCAACCCTATCACACACTACACATTATATACTGCTCCCTTTTGTGGTAGACACAAACCTGAAAATAAGACCTGTGACCTTTATGGTGTTTGTTGAAATTCACTAAATCATTTTGTTGTATAGGGAGGAAATACTTTTTAAGGTGGGTTTTTTGTAAACTCTCACAAAACGCGCTGCTTAGCTGCACACAACATACTGGCCTGGATTCACAAATGTTTTTCACCACTTTAATAAGCGCAATTTCTATACTGATTTATAAATTCCTTCCTGAATGTGACTTTTCTCTAATACAGTCAGATGTTCATGAAGTCAGTCTGAGTCGTATGTTAAAACCTGCAGTTCACTATGAGAAAACATTTTTCTCTCTGTCACGTCTGTTGTTGATGTGTATAAGACAGATAATTTGTGCAAAGAGGACAACGTATGTGGGCTGTGTTCTGATGCTAAGGGCTCACACCTGCTGAATCTGATCGGCGTGTTTTCACCAGTATATAATTAGTGAAATGATGCTGAGACAAAACACCTAAGAGGAGCTAATGAATACGTGAAGATAAAGCACTATTATGTTATAATTAATCTGAGCCCGTGTTTGTGTAGATCTGAATTATTGTACATGACACAAAACACTGCACTTACATCGATCAGTTACCACAAAACGTCAATATATGCTTACAGTGTGTATCAGTGCATTTGTGCAAATATTCATGCATCAGTAGATATGTGTTGTGTGCATGCTGGAGTGATTTCATAGGTTGTAAGTGTATTTTGATCGTTACTCAATTGCTGTGTTCTAGATTCACAGATGGAGAAGATGCTCCACCAGTAAATGGAAGCAGTGGTGCGTGAGCGTGACACAGATTTGAGTACTGAACAGAAATGAACATCACGTGCACAGAATTCATCTTTCAATAATTTCAGCATTTTAAAAACTCATATTTTTGTTTCCTTCTTGTTGAAATGCAAAGTTGGATTTAGCAGCACGTGTATATTTGTTTAGGTAGATTTGTTTGGACCTATCAAATGTTGACAGGATTGATTAGCCATGCAGAGTCATTGAGTTACTGGGAGAAGAAGCTGAAAGTTGAACTATAAACAGTGTTTTATAAAGTATCTCAACGTGATACTTGAGTATACTTAAGTCTTCTATAAGAATATTACTTGAGTAAAAGTCTTAAAGTATCTGATATTTTTTGTACTTAAGTATCAAAAGTAAATTTCTGACACAAAATCTACTTAAGTATTAAAAGTAAAAGTACTGAGTAAAAGTGAGCAGTTAGATTTTCCTAAATGGCATTTATTGGGAGGTAACTTCTCCAGAAATATTTTTTCTAACGGCGTGCAGCTGTGATGGACTGAACAAAGTAATACGGTGTCAGAATTGTATATATTTATACTTCTCATCCAATCACAATTAAATTTACTCTATCCAGGAGACACAATTTATCAGGATAGTAATTTTTTAAATAATAAAAACACGGAATAAAACAAGAGAAACAACTTTCTACTTCTTACCTTTTTTAAAAAAATGTAAGGAGTAGAAAGTACAGATAATTGTGTAAAAATGTAATGAGTAAAAGTAAAAAGTACACTGAAAAATAATTACTCAAGTACAGATAACCAAAATTTCTACTTAAGTACAGTAGCAAAGTATTTGTACTTAGTTACTTTATAACTCTGACTATAAAAAGATTTTCTAAAATTTAACAACTAAGAAAGGTTTACAAAACAAGACACTTGCTTTTTAGAAACTACAGCTGCACAGATATTTCACAATTTATTTTTAATAATTCTGACATGAATTCTACAGGTCTGTGACAAATATTTTATGTAAGATTAGCCCAATGGGAGTACTTCTACCTGCATTAACTCAAAACATTTTTTTTGCATCTTGTCTAAAAATGTCTCGTATTTGTGTGTGCACTACCATTATCCTAGTAATCATGTGTAGTGAGAGTAACAATCACATTCAGACAACAAAGAGAGGTTAAAAGCAATAGAGATTAAAAATAATATCATCTGAAAACGTTGTCTTGTCCTCAGTACGAGCACCGATCTGACAATCCATCTTCACCACCGTCTGTCCACCTGTCTCACTCATAAATCTGCTTTGGGCCTAAGGCCACAACTGAAAGTGGTAACTAGGTTCTGAATGAGTGTCTTTTCTTGCCTGGAAGAGAATAAGCTTTCTTAAAGTCCCCTCAATCAAACTCCTCTGCTAATCGGCTTGGGACTCCTATTTTGTGTGTCCTCATTCTACCCATTTCTCTTGTGCGTGCAGATATTGCGTGTCTTCATTTGTGTTTTCAGTGTATGTCCTAGTTTTTGCATTTAAACGTGCGTGACGAAGCAGGGTTTTCGTGCCTGCTCAGATAATCACGTGTGCAGAAAGCTGTGTGCAATTATTCTGACATTCAGGGCAATTGCCTCCCATCTCTCTCCACAAAGAGAATATTGATATTAAGTGGCTTGGCTGCGCCACCCCACAAAAGAGGAAGGGACTGGCAATCAGCTTCCCACAGAGAATAACTCAAGTGAATTGCCTGACATTATGTATGTCAGTTGTGATAGACAAGCACGGAGAAGACAAAAATGGAAAAGCCTGCAAAACTGCCCTGAGGGTAAAAGCAAGATCCAACTAAAACATGGGTAATGTTGAAAAATGAGATGGGGGTGGGGACAAGAAGATACTACAAGCATTTAAAAAAATAACACTTTGCTTTTCTTCAATGAATAATCTTTGTGATTATACAGTACAAAATGTCTTCAAGCAAATTATTTTATTAGTATAAATTCAATTCAATGTTGGCCAAACAATTTCTGGACAAGCATAGCTCTTCCTTACAGGTTACCAACCACAATTTTATTGTATTGTGTGAAAAAAAAAGAGTTATCTATTTAGAAAAAAAAATAAAGAAAAAGGAAGTAACCTAAACACATTTGCTCAGAAAAAATGTTTGGGGGAAAAGATGTAAAAATAACTTTAGCATGTGAATGAAATGAAAGCAACTGTGAGCATTCTGAATAAAAATAATAGAACCAGAATATTTTTTTCTGTTGAAAAAGAAGAAGAAAAAGACCCCTGACTGGTCCACCTCTGAATCAATGGAGGGATTAAGTTTCTCTTCTTTACTTCGTCTCTCCACAAAAGTTCAGGAGGAGGGAAAGAGACAAAAGGTTAAAGAAAAAACAACAGAAAAAATACAAAGTTAGAGGCATGTGATTAACATAATGCACCAAATTATACTACTGGCAAATAAGAGATAGAAGATGTAGCTGTAATTTTAGAGGTGAAAACAGACTGTGGTATTTTAAACATTTACCGTAGTTATGTGTGTGAAAACCTTTAATACTAGACTACAGCATGTTGAGACTGAACAAAAAGTTTTTTCTGTGTCAGCTACCTGAGTGTTCCTGGTGGAATTAAATGAAATGTTGCAACAACAGAACGACAGTGACATTCTACACATTTTAGTAATGGGTTGGTTACTTGGCTGAGATATAGTCACAAAAACTAAATTGGAGAATTCTAACCAAAGAGCCAGCTTTCCTTTGTGCACCTTTCCCTGGTGACCAAACACAAAGTCAAACTCCACAATTCAAGGTTTTAGTTTTGAATTGTACATAATTTTCTCTAAATAAATTTGATTGATATATTTTGTTTAGTCAGTATTATTTTCCGTGGGCATGTCTGTGGTGGTGGTGAGAATCTGGCATGTGCAGAAGGGGGGGAGAAAAGAAAGAAAAGCAAGAAGAAAGAAGAAAAAACAGAAACCTGGAGAGGAATTGAGAAGAAAGAGAGTGGCTGTTACTCGGTGGATTAGAGAGTCAAATGGATTTGAAGGAGTGCTTAGTGTGTGAGAACCTCACACACTTCCTCTAGCTGTCACCAGTTTTGTTTTGTGGTCATATCAAGGTGACAGGCTGTTGAGTCTAAGCTTCCAAAAACACAGGCCTCGAACTGGCACTGGTCCAACTAGTTTTATCAAAAGCTGCACCATTCAGTGTTGTGGTGTACACGACTACCAACTGTATCATATTAAACAGGTACTGGACACTGCCTTTTACCTCTGAGCAGCTTCTTCATTGACTGCTTCATGTTTTATTGTTGTGTTATGACTGAAATCTAGGGTAAAATAAATTCTGAAAAAAAATTGAAAGCATGAACTCTCATCAAATAAACCGTTCCTTTTCTTTGTGGCTCAGGAGTAACT